TGCGGGAAATCCGAATAACATGCAACATCATATGCAAATCAGGCGCAACGTGCTTAATGTTCTGCACCGGTACAGTAAGTACAGTACATACTGTAAGTACGATATAAATACTGTACTGTACTGTATGGACTGTACAGTACAGTACTTTACAGTGTTTATTGTACTGTACTGTACAGTACAATGTACAATGTACAGTACAGTACTGTATGCCGCATACTGTACTGTACGTTGTCTATGCTATACTGTACAGTACGGTACTGTTACTGTACAGTACTGTAGGATCACGACTGCTTTGCACAATCATTGCACAGAAATACAGTATAATATATAGTACTGTATGGCATGGTTGTGGCATGTACTAAACGTATCTCTATCACCCGTAGAAACAAACCTCACCAGCTTGACTAGGTGACAGTTTGCAGTTTGTACTTACTGGAAGCTGATTTGAACTTCATTTACTATTCAGCACGATAGCATAGAAGTGTAGTAAAATGGCTGATCGAAAGTTTATTGTTGGTGGCAACTGGAAAATGAATGGCAGTAGGGAAAGCATCGATGGAATTATTCAGTTCTTAAAGCAAGGACCGCTTAACGAATCGACTGGTAGGTTGATTACGAATGCTCCGCGGCGATATGAAGATATCACCCGGTTTCTGTAGTACTATTCGTGTGAATGTGTAACGTTTAAAGCGCCAATGACCAGATTTGAGAGATATTAAACTCTTGCTAACTTCTCTATTCGACCCAATAGTCTCCAGTTGTGCAATTTCATGAAGTTATACACTTCTTAATTGATAGTATACAAGCATGCATCGCTACTGTAAACGCCTTTTGATTAATTGTATAATCTGTAAAGATATTGTACAGCACAGTACTAGTAACATGTTAATAATTCTAATTGGTATTGAATACATATGTACCGTACTTCTAAATTAATTTTGTAGATACTAATCATGATGATCTTAAATGTATATGTATATGTATCGCACAGATATAGTTCTTCGATATTTTTGATAAGTTTTTGCACTTATTATCAAATCTGTTATTTTAATATCTACAATATAGTCAGCTGTCATTTTATAGTTGCTTCAACTTGGTCTCAATGCTCAGTACTGTACAACGTTATTAAGGTATAGCAAAATTTTCTAACTGTAAGAAATTTATGTATTCACTTTTGGCATTATAGAAGTTGTAGTCGGGCCACCTTTCGTTTACCTTTCTTATGTTAAAGAAAACTTACCTGATAAAGTCTCGATTGCGGCCCAGAATTGCTATTATGCCTCAAAAGGAGCATTTACAGGAGAAATTAGGTAAAAGTTCATCTGGTTATCTAAGTTTGCGTTTGATGGCAATTGTACTTCTACTTGATGTGCTTTCAATAGTGCCGAAATGGCTGTTGATATCGGTTGTGAGTGGGTTATTCTCGGCCATTCAGAAAGAAGAAATGTGTTTGGTGAAACTGATGAGGTAAGTCAGAATCATTGTACATATATACTTGTTTATTTTATGCTTCTTAAAACTCATGGAAGCTTTAGCACTGTATATTTCGGCATTTGTAAAGATCTATATCTGTAAACTACGAAAGTTAAGCTACAGCACCGGTATTTTATCAGTAGAGGGCATAAATTTTCTTCCTATAAAATTTTTACATCTTACTATTGGAATTAATCGCAGATTATAGGCAAAAAAGTTGCTCATGCTTTGACCAGTGGGTTAAAGGTTATAGCTTGCATTGGGGAGTTGCTTAGTGAGCGCGAGGAAGGAAGGACTTTTGATGTCTTATCCAGACAAATTAAGGCAATCGCTGGTAAGGGTTTAATTCATTTATAGACGATGCTCTTCTGGTAATTTACAGAACTTGCTGATTTTCTTACTTAATCATTATATTACTGCTCTGATCAACTTCAGATAATATCTCTGATTGGTCAAAGGTTGTAATAGCTTATGAACCTGTCTGGGCTATTGGAACTGGAAAAACGGCAACACCACAGCAGGTAATAATGTATGCTGCTAACAGTTCTGAAGCATTCTTGTATGGCATTTCGCATGATGTAGCGTCTTCATGACCTTACCAATTTAAGATGTGAATAATTTCATCATAATCTTTAGGCTCAGCAAGTCCACTTACAATTGCGCAATTGGCTAAAGGAGCATATTTCTGATTCAGTGGCAGCCAGCTGTAGGATTATGTATGGAGGTAATGTGAATATTGTGAGATATATATAATTAATTATCGATGCGGTCCGTATAGTCTGCAGTATTGAATTCCTCTACAATAACAAAGTATCTGTCGATATATTTATCAAGTTTGCATTGTACTGGATATGATAGCAGTTATCTTACAACGTTGTCCTGATATATACATTGGTAGGTTCAGTTAATGCTGGAAACTGCAAAGACCTAGCGGTTCAGCCAGATGTGGATGGATTTCTAGTTGGTGGTGCATCTTTAAAGCCTGATTTTGTGCAAATTGTAAATGCTCGTATGTAATTAATGATTTCGACTTGATTTGGCCATTGCCCTAACTATTTTAGCAAGGGTTGCTTCATATGTTTAATGTTATTATTTAGTACATGCTGTTCCCTTGTCTGTTATTGATTGCTAGCATTCCATTATATTGAAATAAAATTGAAAACAACCTTATTGTTACATAATGTTGGTATTCATGAAAGTATCAACTATTAAGACAGACTTAATTGTACAGTAATGCATTTATAGCTCATCGCAAGCTATTATAATAACCCTCAGAATGTTAACGCATAGGAAATTTCTGCCATTTTAGGCTCAAAATGAAACTTAACTGCTAACTGTCTTCGGTTCTGTCCGTAGTGATGCATTAACCAGGTTGAACATACTGCAGTATGGCTCCATTTAAAACTGAATTTCAGATAACGAATAGCTTAGTACCGATATTAGCTAAAGCACACGGAATTATAGCGGAAATGGCTATAATGATAAAATATATAATTGATCCTCAGACGGCTAGAGAATTTACAATTTATTAATCTTCTAAATTACAGTAATTAAAATGAATTGAGATACGCACTTTCGAGTAGTGTCAAAGAATCTTAAGTATTTAATACGTTCATCGATAGGTGTAGCATTAGTAGCAACAGCATTCATTCCGAAACACGACCACTGTTACAGTAGAATGTCAAGTAAAAAGTCTTAAGTGTTAATAATTGCTCGTAAATTAGTCGTTTTGACTTAGTGAATAGGTTGGGCATTGAAATTCACAACTTAAATGACAAAGTCGCTATTATCGGAGTACCCGAGAACTAATGCACAAATGTAACTTTAATGAATAGCAATTCTACAAAAACAATAATTATTATCTTAAAATAAGGATGACGTACTAGCCAATTTGAAGTATCAATTATGATTAATATATAAACCTCTCTTATGTTGATTTTATTACATGTCTAAGGTAATTAATTGACAATTTGGATAACTGATACTAAAGAATACGAGTACTTAAACTATTCATTTATGACTGTTTCACAAAGTTACTTGTACTGTGCAAGACTTTCAAAGGATATTAACTTGTCAGGTTCTTAAGATTTATATAGCGTTAGCAAATCCTAGACTAATAAAATTTGTTGGAATTCATAACTATTTCACGGTAATATAGTTAAAATGGATTTGTAAAGTTTTGTGCTGGGAATGGTTGCATAGGCTGGTCATAAGGTGTACTACCAACAGGAGCAATACCTGAAGCCATAGGTGACATTCCAGTGGCTGCAGTATTACGCAACTGATTCATAGATGGCCGCTGTTGCGGCTGACAGAAAGGATTTTGGGGTCGTTGATTGCTTGAATTTTGAAAAGGGTTGGTCGACATTCCATCAGCAACAGGAGCATTTACGACCAATGTTTCTAAATTGACTAAAGACGAGTTTTCGCCTAAGAAACTCTTAGCGTCTTTTAATTTTGATGATGAATTCGATGTATCTCCATGAGCAACCTGATTGATATTCATCGGTGTCAATATGGAAGCGTTATTGGTATTATCAGCACCTTCTGATGCGTTTGGATTAGTTAATCGTAATGATGCAAAATCATCTAATTCATCCTTGTGAGCAGATGGTTTCGATTGCCAAGGGTCACTTTGAGAGGGAGCCGACGTTTCATTTTGAGTGGCCCATGGATCATTGGCTGCTGCTACTGGTTGATTATTATTTAAAGAAGGAGCAGCTGCAGCTTTAACAGACTGAATAGGAGGTTCTGTATTCGAACTCCATTGGTCAGCATAAAGTTGTGGGTTAGCCGTCGTTTGCTGTTGAAAAGGATCCACAGACTGACTTACTGAGGCTTGGGTTGGAACATTACCGACAGGTATGTTATTAGACGACCAAGGATCACTTGTCGTGGCTGCTGTCTGATTTAATGGTTGCGCCGGCTGTGCAGACCAAAGATCAGCATTGGACACTGAAGTCTGAACCGGATTTGCAGGTTGCGTAGACCATGGATCCTTATTGGTAACCAATGCTTGTGAACTTGCAGGAGGCGCTGACCAAGGATCATTGGTGGTAACTTGGGCAGAAGTTTGCGGTTGCGTTATGTTGCCAGTGGATTGAATTGAACTAGCTGCTGATCCCCAAGGATCTACCAAAGCATTGGATTGCATATTTACAGAAGGAGGCTGACTTTGCACTGCAGGAAACGAATTTGCTCCTGAGGACCAAGGATCACCGCCCACAGTACCTCTATTTGAAATCGTTTGATTTTGCTGATTAACAAGAATACTTTCATTGATGGCTTTCTTGAGCTGTTGATCTTCGTGTAGTTGCCGTTTCTCGTGATCTTGAGCAGCTTGTCTACTCATTGCAAGGGCTAAATTTAATTGCATTTCCTCTTCAGCAGCTGTTGATGGCGCATCAGATATCACAGAATCAACCGTCGTTATGCCAACACTACTCGGTACAGCATTGGTGGTATTAGCGCTAACAACGGTTGGGACTGCGACTGGGGCTGGAGCTGGGGCTGGAGCCTGGGCAGGAAGTGGAGGCGGATAAGCAACACTAACTGGTACACCAACAACGGTGGTTGTTGGATGGAATGTAATCTGTTGTGAAGTAGGGTTCGAAGGCGGTGTCTGCATTACTGGCTTTCCAGTTTGGCCACTAGCCCTGATAAATCTTTCTTTAGCTTTGAGAGCCTTTTCTCGTTCTTCTTTCAATCGTTCGTCGTCCTTTAATAGAGCAACCAAATGCTTGGCTTTTTCTCGAACATTTAGTCCCTGATCCTTGTTGTCTTTATCAATAAATTGAAAATCCTTCAGCGTCTGGATAGCAAAGATATTCTCGCGACAATTTTGCGTTACTCTGTCCGATCCAGTCTTGATGATGTATTCCAACAAAGTCAGTGCTTTATAAACGTGTCTCCAGTTCTTACCATGATCATTTAAACGTTTCCAAACAATATCCATAATTTCTTGAAAAGCAGACATGTTGTAAGTTGCGTCGGCAATTTCGGTCATGATGGTGGAACTTGGGCCCCATGGATCATTCGAGGTAGCTTCTCGTACCTTCCTTTGGACATCAGTATAATTATAAACTACATTCTTAAAGGAACGCGTGATCGGCATTCTCAATAGTCAAATAAACTAGTTTTATAAACTTGTAACTAGATTAAAATATAGTAAATGCAGTTAAGACATTCACTTTTCAACGCAGCGCGACGACAAGTACCGTACAGTACGCCAACAGCAATAAATGCCTGTAAAATAAAATGGCTTTTAGACTGGAAGACTTACAGTACAGTACAGTACAGTATTTTACGAGTAGTGTGTACAGTCCTAGAACTACCCATTCAAGTTTTGTACTGTACAGTACTGTACAGTACAAGGACTTCTGGAAAGAAAATGAATTTCTCTTCAAATCTTGTACAGTACAGTACAGTACAGTACAGCACATTACAGTACATACTGTACAGTACAGTACAGTACTGCATGCGTTCGGATTGTGTTGCACCAAAAACAACTTCAGACTTCATTTACAGTACACATTTACTTCATTTACTGTTGTACTGTACTGTACAGTACAGTGTACCCTGTACAGTGTACAGTACGGTATGTCCAAATTTACTGTACTGTACAGTGCAATTTACAGCACAGTTTAGAATTAATAGTACTGTACACTGTACACTCAGTACAACATTATTTGATATCGTTATTACGTTGTCGAGAGAGTTCAATGGTTCGATTGTACTGTAGATTGTACTGTACTGTACACTGTCATGACTGACTGTACCTTGGACTACGCACAGTAGTAGAAATCACTACTATTTACAGTACTGTATATTAACGTGTAATTCGACCGAAGTGCTATTGTACTGTACTGTACAGTGTACAGTACAGTAGTAAGAAGTTCTTACTTAATTCTCATTGGCTGACGTACTTGCATAGAAACTTCTTGTCAAAAAATTTGACCTCTTTATAATGGCTCCAACATTAAGGTATTTGAAAAGGGAGGCAATTTTGAAGTGGGATAAACGGAGGTTCGTAATAAGAAAGGTTAAATATAACTCGAGGATTTCACAATAAATCGCCACCACTTCTTGGGTATCTTAGTCAGTATTTTATTAGTTCTCCAACATGGCATTTATATTCGTTTAAAATTACACAATAGTCAAACAGGTTAAAACTGGTCATTCAATCGGAAAATTACAACCCATACAAAATCTTGCAAACACTAGTCTATCTCTTTAAATTACTTAGTTAATACTGTACAAAGAAGAGATCAACTAAACTCAATTCTACAGTAGCATTTACAACCAGACGAAATTGCTGTACTGTACTGTACTGTACTGTACAGGGTTAGGGTTAGGGTACAGTACAGTGTACTGTACTGTACAGTACAGTACAGTACGTACTGTACAGTGCATATTGTATAGTACTGTACAGTACGCTAACCTCGCTTTTATGTCTTCTCCCTTTCATCAGTGATTTAAACACTCACAGTAGACGGGAATGACGTAGCCTTTTAGAAATGGCTTCCAACGAAAATTTTGGTGTCCATGACTTTTGCCGGCCAGTTTCACCGTTCTGGGTAAGTATCATACAGTTGGTATGCCGCTATCATGGATGACTTAATCTAAATGCTGTAACATCTACAATTATGTATACAAATATTGCTCTAATTTTCGCAAGTTAGAAGGTATTCCTGCTGGAATGGAATAGCAATACCCTCTGACGAATTAAAAAAAATTTCCTTGCATTGTATTGTAGCTTGCTTTCAAAGTCAAGTATTTGTGCCTAAGTTGTAAACTACAGAAAGATTTTCTAATTAAGCTACTAGGATCATGTTGGATATACGGCGTAAATGAGTTTCTATTGACTTTCATATAGAAACTGCATGCTAATATTAGAACCAACTAAGTTCAATTAGTCCTGAACGTGAACAAGTGGATACTTTACGTAATCTTTTCGCAACTAGGCCGTAATAAATTGAGCAAGAATGGTCATTATATAAGCCGTTAACCTTTGTGAATGATGCACTTTATGATACAGTAGCAAAAAATGGCTGATAATTTTGATTAGTATTTTGCTGATAGTGTGCGTATTTTGTACTTCATTAGAATTTTACAGGTGGATGGCCAGATTTCACGTTATGCTTTCAGGAATCTGTTCTGTTAACAGCTCCATGCGCCTATTTAATTCTATGTTCTTTGGTGTATATTCCGAGTTTGCTCAAGCGCGATGCATGCAAAAGGAATGTTGGATTGGCAGCAACTTCTTTATTGCACCGCACCAAATTGGTAGGCGATATTCAGCTTGTTTCCTTAACTTACGTAGTGTACCGGCGATGTTGTTGCTAGCTTTATGAGTCCTCGTCGTTCCAGCTTTGTGTCTAGTTGAATTCGTGTAAATTACATGATCAATATTAATTACTTACTTACACGAGGTATTCTAAGCGATTAACGGTACTGAATATTTTAAAGTAAAGTACTGTATTGACAATAGTTCCTGATTGGCCGCATTACCGAGCGAGTAGAAACTTGCAGACTAAATACACAGCATTCGTTTTCAGGTCCTCAGTTATAATGAAACTTGAAATACAATCCCACTGCAGATAATATGTTATAATGATTCTTCCATTTTAATAGGCAGTAAATGCAGCGCTGATTCTAATTTCATTCGCGGAAATCTTCTATACCATTCATACCGTTCAATATGAAGTTGTTCCTGGTGTATATTTTTTAACGCCAATGATTACTTGGTGTGCAATGGTAAGTAAAAGATTTTACGCAATGCTTTTCTACTTAGTTACTGACAAAGAGAACATTTACTTTACTTTCAAATTATCATCATGTTGCTAACGTGTATGTTGCTACTTTTACTGGCAATTATATTGTTAATCGCTATAAGAAATTACAGTGTGCCCATTTTTGTATACAGTCTCCTTTTGTAAGTTAGAAGTGTGAAATACTAGATTGCAACACAAGGATATCAGTTTTCAGAACTAAATACCATTGGCAGCTTATCAATTTGAATCATTTTTGCTATGTTTAATAACTAGGTTCTGGCTATTGCAATTCTTCGAATCGAATATTCTCGTAATATTTACTCTTCTGGAATCCTATTTATTTACTGGCTATCGTTAGCCGTAGTAATGTCAGTCAAAGTCAGAACATTAATCAGCTATTCAGTCTTACTGGTAATAATCGTAAAACTTCGCTCATTTACTGCATGCTAAGCACGCCCCGACAACGATGATTTGGTAGAACAATCTTCTTTATTATGTTTGGTCTTGGGAGATATAATATAATAATTCAGTTATTGAAGACTTAACCACATTTATTCTAGATTAGTCAATGCTATTCTAAAGGTGTTGCATTTTTTATAGGAAGTTCCGGATATGTTTCGATTTGTACTATTTTTCATCAGCTATCCCTTAGTGGTACTTTCAATGACGTTATCTGCCTTTTCTGATCGATCTGAACATAAGGAAATGGACAAATCTGCATCTAAAATTGTAATTAGTATTGTAGATAGTACATAAATTATATTATTCTTGCTATACTCGCCTGCACTCTATCGCTTGCGATAGTCGAGATTAATGACATACTTATAAATTATTGATAGCGGCATAGTGCTATCGCAAGTAATGACGTTTTACCTCACTATTTTACATCTGCAGTCGCCATGCCCTGAGAATAATGCATCATTCTTGTCACGTATTACGTTTTGGTGGATGACTGGGTTTGTAGCCTGAACCAATTATTTACCGCTTCGATTCTGTTGCAATGTTTTTACGCTATTGTTATGGATGATCGTATCGTAATAGTATTAAACCCTTTTTACATTTTAAAAACTTACTATAGTTTAATGATCACTGGATATCGTCACCCTTTAACTAATGAAGATTTATGGGATTTAAACGAAAAAGACAAGGCATATGAAGTTGCTCCACTAATAACGACAGAGTGGAATAAAGAGATGCGAAAGATGAAGTAAGATTTTAGACATGGTTGTAACATCAATTCTAATTTATTGTAGATAAATTTTACTTGCAGTACTTACGACAGACACAGAGATTCCTACTCAGGAACTTTGTATTTATTTTTCCAGGTCAGTAAATGCAGATGGAATAGAGACTGATTCAGGTAGTAGTCCCAGCTTGGCTCTAGCCTTGCTAAGAGCGTTTGGTGGAACATTTTTCTTTGGTGGATTCTTAAAGTTTTTGCACGATTGCCTTGTATTTGTGAGTCCACAACTGCTAAGGTTGGTATAAGAAACATTAAAAGATCGCATGTTTACGTGGAAATGTTGCAATTTAATATTTTAGTCTATTGACCTTATCCTACTTTCGGATATTGCGTTACAGAGAGTTAATACGTTTTACGGCCAATAAAGATGAGCCCGTGTGGTCAGGTTATTTATGGGCAGCTTTAATGTTCCTATCTGCTATTGTGCAATCATTGATATTACATCAATATTTTCACCGTTGCTTTGTAACTGGAATGCGATTGAGAACTGCTATAATATCTATAGTATATCGAAAGGTATTTGGCAATTATTAACTTCATGAAGTACTTTACAACCTATATCGCCCTTTACCAAATAAAATATGCTCTTCTCTTCCCAAGTCTTTAAAACTAAATAGCATTGCAAAAAGACAGTCCACTGTTGGAGAGATCGTCAACTTAATGTCTGTAGACGCTCAGCGATTTATGGACTTAACCACCTACCTGCATATGATATGGTCTGCTCCATTCCAGATTGCCGTTTGTATGTACTTCTTATGGGATACACTTGGCCCTTCAGTGTTGGCTGGTTTAGGCATTTTGATCTTAATGATTCCCATCAATGCGTACCTATCGATGAAAATTCGTCAATTACAGGTTCTTAGTGAATTCCCGAAGTTGCTATGCGGTTATTACTGCTTTAGCTGATAGAGACTTTTATAATATAATAGGTGCGACAGATGAAATTAAAAGATGAACGTATCAAGCTGATGAACGAAGTGCTGAATGGTATCAAGGTAATCAATACGTCGATTGTATGCTACCGCACGAGTATTTATACGCGTATGAAGTAAAGTCATCCCAATATGTAGGGACTGCATTTTTCATGCTATTAATTATGTAGTTAATTTTTACTGCAGCTGTTTTTAAAATCGTTTAACCTTAATATCGAATTACTATTTTTAGGTTTTAAAACTGTATGCATGGGAAAAATCTTTTATTCGAAAAATTTCCGGTATTCGAGAAAAAGAGATAAAGCTATTAAAATCTACAGCTATGCTAGCTGCGGCATCTAGTTTTGCTTGGTCCTGTGCTCCTTTCCTGGTTTGTTAATTAAAGTGCAACACTACGTGACGCTTGCATGATACATATTTAATTACAGTTATTTAAATCTGTTATTTTTTCTAGGTTGCATTATGTACCTTTAGTGCATATGTTCTGTCTGGAAATGAGTTAACTGCTGAAAAAGCGTTTGTTGGCCTATCTTTGTTCAATGTTTTACGTTTCCCGATAATGATGTTTCCGAATGTTATCACTAATGTAATACAGGTGATATACGTATATGTGTATAGACATAATTGTAATAACTGCTTGTATAAATTTATCTTTAATTCTTGTATTATTCTTACGTATTAGGCTAGTGTATCGATTAAGCGATTATCTGCCTTTTTAAAATATGATGAACTTGACCCGAACAATGTACACGATATCATGCCCCCAGCTCATGGTATTATTATGATTACAACTTGTTTTTATTGTAATCTATGATTTTATCCTGCTCTACTCCTACTTATACGAATATTCATGGATCCCTTAGATGATTCTGCAGTTTTAATAAATGATGGTACTTTCACTTGGGGAGGAAACGACGAATCTACATGCCTGAAGAAGTCGGTATCAAATAGATAGAATATATAGCATTATTGCTGAATTGGATGAATTATACGTGTACTTCACAATTCGTATAGGATAAATTTAAGAATTCGCAAAGGATCCCTTGTTGCAATTGTTGGTCACGTAGGTAGTGGTAAATCTTCACTGTTGTCCTCAATACTAGGTGAAATGCAGAAAGTGGAAGGAAGAGTCCATGTTCAAGTAAGTAATATACCCTTTCATCTTCATGTCGTACTTTATGCTTGGTTCTTATGTTGATTTATTGTTATTGAAATAAGGGCTCAGTTGCTTATGTGCCACAACAAGCTTGGATTCAGAATGCTACTTTAAAAAACAACGTCTTGTTTGCAAGTGAATATTCACCACGTTACGAGAGGATAATAGAAGCGTGTGCATTAGAAGAGGATTTGGAGATGTTACCTGCTGGGGATTCAACTGAAATTGGAGAAAAGGTTAATCTTACATATGTTTTGTCTATTCCAAGTACAATATGTTTTACTTGCGCATCGACTAATTTCAAATAGGGCATTAACTTAAGTGGCGGGCAGAAGCAGCGTGTCAGTTTAGCGCGGGCAGTTTTTAGCGATGCAGATATTTTCCTCTTGGACGATCCTCTTAGTGCAGTTGATGCGCATGTCGGCAAACACATATTTAAACATGTTATTGGACCAAACGGAGAGCTAAAGAATAAGGTAGTGTAATAAGTATTAAAATGAATACTTTGGATAAATGATAACGTTCTCACTTTTTATAACGGTACGATAGACTCGATTGCTTGTGACTCACACTTTGGGATTTCTACCTCAAGTTGATCAAGTCGTAGTCATTGACAATGGCGTAATATCTGAGGTTGGTTTTCGTGAAAAATTTTAAACGCTAATAATTGCCTTAAGATTTGTAGCTGATGGTTAATGGTATAACCGTAGATTGTCTAATTATTAAAACGGGCAGGTTGGCACTTATGCGGAACTCTTAGCTAAGAAGGGATCATTTTCAGAATTTGTAACAACTTTCACAAACACGGAAATGAATAAATTACAAGGTACATGCGTTTTGCACCTTTTTAGTACTTTTTAGTATTTTTTCAGAGGTGGAATCTGCAGCGTTTTATTATTAGTAACTGAAATTATATGTTGCCTTTAATTTTTTATGGGGTACATAGAGGAACACCATTCAGATTTAACGGAATTAAAGGAAATAGAAAAATCGATGGACTTAACTAGAGCAGACTCTGTATCATCACTCGTATCACGAATCGATAGTTTAAAACAAAGTAAGTTATCTCTGAATGATGATAAAGTTGCTGTAATGAAACAAGTACAGGAGCTGAATGAAAAAAAGAAGCTCATTGAGGGTGAAAAATCTGAAACTGGCCGAGTAAGTAAAACTTACTCATAAAGGGAGAGTGAATCAGGTGGTTACTAATGTACCTGATGATAATATTAAAACTGAATTTTAGGTGCGGCTTGGCGTATATTTAAAATATGCAAAGTCCTTGGGATATGTACAGGCATTGCTGGTAACCTTTTTTGCTGCAGCCACGCAGATATCTTCGGTTGGTACAAATGTCTGGTTAGCCGATTGGAGTTCAAATCCGAACGCATCATCGCCTGTAATTCGTGATCGCTATCTCGGAATATATGGAGCCATAGGAGCCGCTCAAGCGTTATTTCAACTATGTAGCAGCTTCTGTTTAGCATACACTACACTTACAGCTGCTTATCATCTACACTCCATCATGCTTGATCGCATAATGCGTTCACCGATGTCATTTTTCGATACTACGCCTTTGGGAAGAATTGTAAATCGTTTTTCGAAAGACATCTATATCATAGATGAAATTCTACCAGTTATTATTAGATCGTGTTTCATGTGTGTATTTTCTGTCTCCTCTACCATAATTATTATCTGCGTCTCTACCCCTATTTTTCTCGCTATTATACCTCCATTGGTAATTATGTACTTTTTTACGCAGGTATTATTTTCTATAGAACTATATGATGCATGATTAATGTTTATGTGTAGCAGCTGAATTTCTAATGTTGATGCTACAGAGGTTTTATATCGCAACTTCAAGACAACTAAAACGAATTGAATCTGTTAGTCGATCACCTATTTATTCTCATTTCGGAGAAACACTACAAGGCGTTGCAACAATTCGTGCTTACAAAGTACAAACTGATTTTATCAATGCAACTGACGAGAAAATCGATAAGAATCAGATGGCTTACTATCCCAGCATCTCATCAAATCGGTATATTATTGTACTTGAATTAGGCAGTGTAGTAAAATTGATAAAATTTAATTTGAACCAATATTTATTTGACTTCTAGATGGCTTGCAACTCGATTAGAATTTCTTGGTAATTGTATCGTGTTGTTTGCTTCATTATTTGCAGTCATTGGTAGGAACTCATTGCCGCCTGGTATTGTTGGACTGTCAGTTTCTTATGCCTTGCAAGTATGTATAAATCTCCTTATCATGTTTCTTTAGTTAAGATTCATATCACTGTTTCCGTATTTACGTTACCGTCAGATTACTCAAACTCTGAACTGGCTCGTACGGATGAGTAGTGAATTGGAAACTAATATCGTGTCAGTTGAACGTATCAAGGAATATACTGAGATACACACAGAGGTTAGTGGGATGCGATTTACCAAATATCTTCTAGCACGGGGTGTTCTTAGTTACGGTTTGTAGAGATCTGGTTGTAATCAATAATATCACATTAGGCAGCATGGGATGTTCCCGATAGCAAGCCTGATAGCGATTGGCCGACAGAAGGGATAATATCATTAGAAAATTATAAAGTTAGGTATCGTGAAAACCTGGACTTGGTATTGAAAGGCATTAATTGTAAGATTGCAAGTGGAGAAAAGGTAAATTATTATCTATATGATCATGTACTGTACTAGTGTTATGTAAAATTACTATTTGTTTAACAAATTTTATTACAATCAACTTCAGATTGGTATAGTCGGTCGTACTGGTGCTGGAAAGTCATCGTTAACTTTAGCGTTATTTCGAATTCTTGAGGCAGCTGAAGGCAACATATCTATAGACGGGATTGACATTTCAACAATAGGCTTACATGATTTAAGGTCTCGTTTGACAATAATACCCCAGGTATGCGTATTAATTATAATTATAAGTCTTTGATTTGAAAAGCGACCAGCACGATTATATCTAAAGCCACTAGGCAGTAAAAGCTTGCCGGTATTGATGTATATGCTTATTGTATTTAGGACCCTGTTTTATTCGCCGGTACGATTAGAATGAATTTAGATCCTTTTGACATATTTACTGATGAAGAAGTATGGTATGCTCTGGAATGTGCTCATTTAAAAGGTTTCGTAGTGGGTCTTGATAAAAAGTTAGATAATGAAGTAGCTGAAGGAGGGGAAAATCTTAGGTAAAATGAAATGAACCAAAGTCGTTTACATGTACCAACAAAACAAAGTCTCCATCTGACATCTATTACACTGATAATTACGTTGATATATATTCTTTTATTTGAATAGCGCTGGTCAAAGGCAGTTGATTTGCTTAGCTAGAGCATTACTACGTAAAACTAAAGTGCTAATTTTAGACGAAGCCACTGCGGCTGTAGACATGGAAACAGATGATCTGATTCAAGCAACTATACGAACACAGTTTGCTAACTGCACAGTTTTAACGATTGCCCATCGCTTAAATACGATAATGGATAGCACCCGGTAAAAATTAATTAATGTGACTCCATATTTTTACGCATAATTGTACGTGGTTAAATTTTATCGTTTTGTTATTAATAAATTCTAGAGTGCTAGTCTTAGATGCTGGACGTATAATCGAATTCGATACGCCATCCGTTTTAATGTCGGATCCGGAAAGCGCATTCTACGCCATGGCTAAGGACGCTGGATTAGTATAACACTTACATTTGAGTTGTAATCTGTACGTTGTTATACGGTAGAAAGTATCATTTAAGTATAATGAATCGTAGCATCTTTTTAATTAGTATCATAACAACTAAAGACTAATTTCCGTTTTACCTTTCATCGTGTATTAGTATCAACTACGTAATTTTTCTATGTCGTAAGTTACGATTATTTAATTCATATCTGATGAAGTGATTCTTAGTTGTAAGATCACTTCTCAAAAACGTGGGTTTATGTGAAGAATTGTTGTATTCATCATTAATGTTGACTTTTATCCTAATTTTATAAGATGTTAAAGAGATACATTTAACAAACTGTTTAAAATTTATTTTGCACTTTAAGTGGTTCTTAAGATGCATGTAGTACTCGTAGACGATATGTTCGAACTTTCTTGGTCTTCATTTTAAAGATAGGGCTTGCCTAAATTTTAAATCACAATACGCGTATGTAGGTCAATTAGAATATCATCGCTTATCTACGACACTTTTGCTAAAATTTTAATCTGCAACTTGTGACTTAGGTCGCAACATGGCTAATTAGGGAAATATAAGATGCTAATAATCGTAATTGCTATTTCTCTAGTAACAAATTTCGATTTAATCGCATATGGGAAAATGAAAGATAATATATTTTTTTCCTTTTAGCTAAAATATAGCAGGAGGTCTCATTTAATAAAGGCTATAATTGTAAGCTTATATATGTACTCACAGTGGATGGCAGTAGATAATATAATAAAAACAATTTAAATGTCAATCTTTTGAAAGTCGCGTTACTTTTCTGTAAAATGAGCCCAGGCACATTCGTAGTCATGCTAGTTGATTAAGACTAGGTTAATGTCATTTTCGTTTTGCATATTATAAAGCCAAAGTTAAGGTTATTCGCAAACGATGTATGTAGCTGCTGGAATAACACAGTCGTTAGCGCACTTAGTTTTCGCCTTTGCAATCACCATTGTGATCAAAATTTATTATCACGTTTCTTTAACCGCAGTTGTACTGTATCACAAATAATCATATTCTACAAAAATATTAGTCTATAACAATTTAAGTACAATCGTTTTGCAACTGCAATGGAAGAAAACCAATAAATAATTTGACTCTATAAGCTGATATGCCTTGCAAATGTAGTGAAAAGGTAATCCTATACTGTTCATAACTTCTTTACAATCTACGAATTTATGCTTTATGAATTTGCAACTTTCAGCTTGTAGATGAAATCTCTTTATAATTCATTGCATCTATGTTTTATCGTTATCAAGTGAACTTAGATGCATTGTTTTGTTGTAAAGACAATCAGAGTCGTTTTTACACATCTTCAACCATTCCTTATCTGCCAAAACGTAAACAACTTTGCGAAGTTTCTCAATTTCCGTGCAACAACTAAGACCATCCTTTAACAAATATTATATTACATATATTAGAAAAATTGCTCAAATCGCTGAAACGTATTCAACTGAAACCAGTAACAGGATTAACAGCCTAAGGCTATTACAGCGTAATATTAAGTATACCGATCGATAAATTTTATAAAATTGAAAATTGGCGATTTAAGAACATATGCGTAACTGCGTTAAGAAACGATTTAAAGTCTTTTAAATGATCTAAATTCAGCCACGTATACAGTTACGGTATAAATGAGAATCGCTAGGCACTGCTGAATAGAGTGAACGACAAAAAACGCTTCGATGAGGTCAAGCTGCAGAATAAATGACACATATGAGAGAGAAAAATTGAAGCTAGAGTATACCTGTTTTTCTTCATTATTCGCCAATACATCTTTTCTTTTGTCATCTTCAGGTATCGAGTTTACTAGTTTCTCACTATCTTCATTCGGCTCTTTATCAATAGACGGTAAATTATCTAAATTTTTGAAAGAAGATGCAGAGATTAAATATCAATGTCAACAAAAATTGGGAAGCAGCTTGTGAAATAATATAATTATCACTACAAATTTACCGACTTCTACCTGAAACTGATCGAAGTACGGTTGATTCCACATCTAAAATAAATCCGGCTTCAACAAATATATCATTTCTCCACTTTTCCCTCCCCTGACAGCATAAGGGTGAATTTATCAACGTACGCTCGTATGAGCTATGCAAATCCTAGACATGACATGTTACCTTTTCTGTCACCTCTGCACTCAGTACTTGAACATCTAATCGGTCCAGCCTACTTTGCAAAGAATGACTGAGGTACGGATAGACTAACATCGCGTCATTGTAGCAAATTAAAGGAGTTTCAAAGATAACAGCATAGCAACAGGTTTCAGGCTCATTAACCGAAACAAGTTTATTTATTTCGCCACATTTTATGTATACCTTCATCATTATAGAACGTATCAATGAATGCAAAGAGTTTGTTGACATCTAACTGGAAACAACGTTGATATAAATAACTAGTATGTATTTACTACCTTTGAAAATCGATGATGCTCTCCACAGTCGTCGCCTTCATCCATAATCATTGAAACGAATGTATCATTGACGATTTCCCATTGCTTCCATACTCTTTAACATGATGATAGTCTTGATAAATAACGCAATTATTATTTGACTAAAAATACTGGAATTGATTGACTACGGTTCAAGTACCCTAAAATTCCCTGATATCCGTTCCAAACTGTGATTTCGTGCTGCGTAATATTATTGAATGGACAGAATTTATATTTGTATCTAAAAAATTAAAAGTTAAGATATACTCAATTACTGAAGATCATGTATCATCATTACATAATTGCTTTGGCTAATTTTAGCAGGCTGTTCGTGAATAGTTACCGTAATGGATATTTTATGACGTTAAGCTACTAGTAAGTAAATAGATTTTCACCTTGTTTCTTCCAATTCAAAACAATCATTGCTTAATTCTAACAGAGGTGTGGGACCTGCAATTCATATCATTAGATCATGCAGCTTGTAATCTTGCAATGACAGATTTTATAATCAACAGGTACTTCTACTACACCTGAAGGCTTGCAAGGCTTAACTCTGGATTTTAGCTGAAAGAAAAAGCAAATGGTTATTAAATAACAATTGTTCTCATTTTACGGCTAGAGTCAATTTTCACTCTTTGGATGATTTTACAGTCTGCACGAACTACAATTCCGTTCAGTAGAATCTATGCAGAAGGTGGTGTAAATAAATCGTCTATGGTACAAGTGCTAACTTTGAGCTTATCCAATACGTCTATATTAAGAAACAAGCACCACTGCTATTCCCGTTTTACCTAAACCTAAATCGAGTTAAAAGGAACTCACACATACATCATTGCTACTTCTCCTTAATATTACGAAGATGGAGGTCAAGGTGTTTTATTATTAATAAAGCACAATCCATAAGAAAGAGTCCCATATAGGATAGCGCGACAGGTATGGATATAGATAAGAATGATAAAAGATATGATGTAAGGTACTTAATTAAAGTACTGTATGCTATTAAGAGAGATAGAGTGAATCAATTAATTATAATTATAGGTCAAATATCGATACGGTGCCACCATATGATCAAATCAAGCAGTATATTTTTACAGTTTACTTACTGAAGATTGCTGAGTTGAGAAAAGTATGACCGTACAGGTTCCTCAACTATTTTAATCTTGCTGCTACTATCACTTGCAATACCTATTCAGTTTACAAATAGGTCATTAAGAAGCCTTCATTCTACAATTCCAGTTTTAAAATTTTAATTACCAATACATTCAAGGCGAGTTTTAATTGTATTGAATGAGGCATAAATCAAATATCAATTGTACTAGCTGTGCATTAAAGTAGGATCACTACAATCGATGCATCGCCATTGCGTGCTGCTACCTTCAAACTGAGCACAACATATAAATAACTTTTGGTCATCCAATATGATCGGAAAGATAGTGCTGACTACAAGAAATGATTGCTGATTAATTTACCATGATTTCCAACTAGAAATAATATTGCGAACAAGGTATAACGACAGCAAGCAGCACTACTGGCAGGAAACTTCATCATCGACTTTAGTCAAAAGGATGCAGGGCCAGCTGCTGCCAAGCCGTTTCTTGTACTGTACTGTACAGTTCTTTATATTTTATGGAGTAGATGTACTGTACTGTACTATTTTAGATTAGTGACTGGTACTGTACTGTACTGCACAGTACAGTACATATTATAGCATTATACTGTACTGTACACTGTATACTGTTCGAGCATAAAGTACTGTACTGTACGCAGTTTCGCTTAGCTTTGCATATCATTCTTGATGGAGGATAGGAATTCATAGGATGGAAGCGAGCTAAACATAGACTAAAATATGGGCTAGTAGTCCATAATTAAAATCGATTACAAATCTATTCTTGCCAGTAGTAGTTCAAGAACATTATAGCTTTTGCTAAATAAACGCCTGAGACACAACAATTACAGGAGTGATTACTACTCTTAACCAATTGTTTATTGTATTGATCATTTCTTCTGGTGGTGGAAATGGCGGAAGATGAGAGCAAAGACCACGAAAAACAAACCAATATTGCAAAGGTAGAGTGTAACTTGCTTCCTACGATATTGACATTCCAATTTATGTCTGTAGATTGATGAAAGATTGATTTCTGTACCGTGAACACTGGATGAGGTGATCCAGAAAAATTAATCGAGCTTGCAGTATGCTGACTATAAGGTTGCACTGTATTTGTTGTCTATCTATTTACTGAACGCGTCTATCGGATAAAGTAGAGTTTACTACGTATAAAGAGTGCCAGCGTTCGCTACAGCTATGACGTAGAATAGATAACTTAAAATAGAATTGCGAGCATACCCTATGCAGTACATCAGCAAATAATTTATCCGTTTCAAGGTGATAATGTCCTGCTACCTTGGTCTAGATTCCTTCTCCAGACGTCTACGTACAGTATTACTTTACCACAAGCTTGGTTACATTAAAAACTGGTCAATTTGTATCTAAATTTAAATGAATCAGCGCATCGTGTCGAATTGATTATTCGTACTAAAATGGATATGAATTACACTGCAGGTGTCATCGTTCAAGCAAGCCTTCTCTTTTATCAAGGACAGTTCGCACTATCAAGAAATAGAAGCCAGCAGCTCATCGTCGAATATAAGGTTACCAGTATTCATTTCCAAAAATATTGATGTCAGATACTGTAGCTATAAATATTTATACAATATAATGACAGTCATTGACAATGAACTGACTAATAGTGCTCATGAAGTGAAATAAGTAACACATTGCTAACATTAGATGATGTCTTGCTTGTCAAATACAGTCTTCCTCGACAACCTTTAAACACTAACTGTATCACCGTCAATCCTAAACAGGTATCGTAGTAATTAACTTATCTAACAAACTACGCGTATTACGCAAAACTATATTGGATTTTAATTATCGTTATCGAATATTGATTGATTGGCTTAGTATACCTACTGTAATAATATAAGTAGCGTTTTTATGTGCAGGGTAACTTTATGATTGTTCACCTTATTGTACATTGGTTGTTCCTTGTAGCGTATACGGTTTATTCTATAGAACTGAATATCGTGTTGGTAATTCACCTTCGCTCTAGAATCATCTACGCTTTGAAAATTAATACCAATTGTCTATAGTTAGTCTTGTTTAATTTTAGCATTAGGCTATACGCGTATATTTCAATTTGATATAAAATTTTCGGTAACATGATAAGCTCTTTAGTATGTTATAAAAACTAATTTCCTCTATCATAAATACATTATAGAAAGGTACAATGTGTCCTCAGTCTATAAAATGTACTGCTGCGATAATTGATTAGTATTAACGAAATTACTAATGTTATGCTATAGCGCGGCAACCCTATTATTCAATATATCACTAGCGTCCCTTTGGAATATGGAGATATAGTTCCAGATTATGTCTTAGGCAAAACGACATGTGCTTTATATCTTAGGTATTTTTGTTAAATAATTAATACGCCTTCATTGTAATATATTCATACAGTAATTTATGTCATTCAGTTTCGGAATTAACTCAAAGGTTTGTTAAAGTTTAAGGTATCACAATTTACATCCGAATTACATTCATGAACGGTTAAAGAAGCTTGGTTATGCCTTTGAAATGCGGATTCTTTTGGTGCAAGTCGACCTGGTAACTAGACAGGAACAGTCTATAGAGAGAGAAATTTCTGAGTTTTCTACTATACTTAGTTTCTGAGAGTATCCTACAGTTTTACCAATGACAGACTGCCATTATTTAACTCACTAGTTTCTTGATTTTAATTATAGAAAGATTGTCAGCAGGCATTAAATGAATTAGCAAGAATAGCAGTTATGGCCGACTGCACATTAATTTTAGCTTGGAGGTATGTCACGTTTGCGACACAATTAAGACTATTTTTGACTTTCAAATTTGTAAATATTTATCATTTCTAAAATTGGACCCTTAAAGACATGTCTGTCAATTATTTTCTATCTAAACACCGGATCGATTGTTTATTCCTCGAATAAATATAACTAACTATAGGTTTTCATGTAATACGCTCTGGGCAATTTGAGATAACTTCATGAGATATTGCATATCTATGTATATGTGCTCTGACTGTAATTACTTGCACGCTGATTGTTTGAAAGCAAGTATGAATACTTTGAGAGGCATGTCTTAGTATTGCTTATGATAAGCAGTTGAAAACAGTTGCGATTTTTAATCTTATACATGTGCAGTATGATGATGCATTCAAGTCGTTTAGAATAACTGTAAAGTGAATAGATTTTTATGTGTATTACTAGCATGCTATGTGGCTATTATGCCGCTCTAGTATATACTTACGAGATTAGGGAGAACGTGACTGAATATTAGATCAAACTTTAGAGTACCTAGTAGAATTCTTATTGATATTCTTAATCTGTTCAAGAATTTTGATTGAGAAATTGAACGTAATGCGATTTCATAATTTATTCGCATGTAATTGTATTGTAGTAGTGAAGAAGCAGGTCGATATTTAGAAACATATAAAGCCTACGAAAATAAGCCTCCTGATTTATTGAAAGAAAAAGTGGACAAGGATTACCTTTCTAAGGTTCAACTACCTCTTATATCATGCGCATAATTTGTTCAATGAACTAGATCAATATTTCGCAACCTGCAAATTACCTTCTAGGCCATTCCATTAATTTTTACCTTAATAGTTAACAGATTGCTTAACCACAATTAAATCAGTCAATCGTGGTGATGTCATTACTTTACAATCGACGTTTGGGGTAATAAAATCTTTCCTGATTGTAAAGACAGTAAATTCATAACGTTGAGTAATTGTAGGTGTCTACGTTATTTAGAGTATGGATAATATTATATCGGCGTCCGTCCAAGATTTGGCTTTATGTCCCGGGATCGGATTACAAAAGGTATGCAATATGATTGTTGTCTCAGCATATCATTTTAGTAATGAAGTAAGAATTTACGAGTAGAGTGAATAGATCTCACCACCCAGTTAATAAAAGTTTCGAAAACGTTTTCTTTGACACAATTTGTGCTAATTTTCGACATTTTTCATTTAAAGGCGAAGAGAATTCATGCACTTTTTCGAGAACCATTTTTAACAAAACATAAGAAAATCAAATCGGAGAATTACAATACTGGAGACAGCTAATCCTTCAGCGCTTCTATTGACAATAATTGAATTAATCCTCAGCTCGATTAATCAAAAGCAAGATATTTAATTTCTCCCATTTACGCAAAATGCAAGCGCTATTTTGCCTACAAAGTGCAATTAAAGAAATCGTTTCATATTTGCAGTTCTGTAGATGCACACGCTGCTCTCCATCAACTGTAATCTCTGTTGCGTAAGATGAAATACAGTTTTTAGACAACATTTTTTTACTTGTGGCATCAGTTGTAGCTTTAACATGCGAACTATTTACGTACATTAGCGGTAGTTCTGATATTGGACAGTTTTTATAGTATGATTAATCGTATTGTTGTATATTTTCTGCACTAGTTAATGATGGTTAGAGTAGATATACAAAGTATCAAAAACTACAGTCTGTGGTAAATGTAATTACCCGCCAGCATTGGTAATTTTGTATTTTGTTCCGTATATCTGACATCACAGAATAGGACTTTGTGTTAGATGTCGCCTACGCTTTAGCCTACCTAATATAAAATCAATCTCAACATTGTTAACTGGTTATATTTATGCACAACGTGGAAACTGACCATAATGTTTTAGTACCATATCAAAGTCAATCGATGTAGCGTCGTAAACCTTCGCAAAGTGTTCTACCGACCATTTACGAAAAATTGAAACATCACGATTCTGCTACGCAATCATTTACATTAATATTAAAAGTGTGGTGATTATCATTTTCTTAGATTTGAGCTATTATTACTTTATCTGGAGTACGACGATCAATTTGTTCATGTGAGTCTTTTATATCCATTTGTACATAATTCATACTGATTGCGATATGATAATGGCTGATAGTAAAGCAAGTACAGGAAGCTTTTCTGTCATGTCTGATCTAGAATTAATTAGAAGTAATAAATTCGGAATGACAAATATGAAAAATACCGCGATGGACGTTGTTCTTAATGTGAGAATAAACATACTAATTAGATTATTTTTATTCCGTCATCGCCATCCTATATTTATTTAAATGCATCTTTAATCAGCATGCGTGGGTTGAATATTTGAATAATATAAATTTACAAGTTGATTTTTTGGCTACCTGCTGATTTCTATTTATTAAAACATTTCTCCATCGGACAAATTTCTCATAGCATTAACTTTGTTTCCTATGCAATCCTGTAAATTTTTCCCGTCAAGTTCTTTCTTAAAAAATTTATTGCATACCGTAACACAAAATAACTTCAAGTGGGTGCTTTGCTTCAACTTTTCCCTCGCTCACTTACAATATCGAAGAAATTGATCAGATCTCTAGAAGCGATTGATTTAATTACGATCTTTCTCTACTGCTATTGCTTCATTACCAAACATCTACTTTGATAGAAAAAGTTCGCAAGGATAATTAACTTCCCTTGCAAGAAATCGGAAAACGTAAGTTTTGGGTTTTTTTAATCGAGCAAAATTCATTAGTTCTATCGAAATTATTGCATAGATTAACTTTGTCTCTTCATATTTTCATCACATGATTTGCATGATCGAATAAAGATAAAATTTTTCTAATTTTTTTCACTTTTTGTTCGAAAGTTCGCTAGAACGATCCTATTCTTACTTTATGATCTGAATGTTTGTTACCGCTTTAGGACTCTTCCATTTTATATCTTAAACAATTTTCAAAAGTTACTAACCAAGAAAGAAAAATATTGCAATTCGGCAGTAATATTTTCCGGTATAAAATCAGTTAGTCCAATTAGTGGCATTAAACATGAGGAATAAATTGTTTTTAATCAAGATTTGGCTTTTTATCTTGGCAATATTATTGATTGATTTAATTCACTGTCAAAGCAGTTCACAAAAATCGCCGACAATTATTTTTCCAATGTTAAATTATGTTGGTAATAATGCCATTGATACAAACGCTTCTTTGGAATTTGTTGTTCCGTGTTCAGTCATGTTTGGAGATCAGCGGCGTTGGCTTCACAATGGCGTGATTGTACAGTATAACGATCGAATCAAGATCAAAAATTATGCATTAAGTATTGAGCCGTTCCAATTACAAGATTCAGGCACTTATCGGTGTCAAGCATCAAATCGTTATGGAACTGCAATAAGTCGTTACGCGAAGATAGAAGCAGCTAAAGTACCTGTTATTGATAGTGCAGGAGTATCTTATCAGCTTCAACCAGGTATAGCTGCTAACTTAAATTGCCAATTGCCATCAAGTCAATCACCAATGCCGAGCCTGATTTATTGGAAACAACGATCAACAAATAAAATAATCGTAGAAGATGAACGAATCACTGTATCCGCGGTCAATGGAAATTTATATTTTGCTAACACACAAGTATCGGATTCTAATGAGTACCAATGTCATGTCGTTTTTACATTGCGCCATCCCTATCGTCAGCGGGATAATCGTAATATCAGTTTAAATGGAAATTGGCAGACTGTACGTATTAGTGGAGCACCATTTACACAAACACATCCATTCGCAGAAATTCTTGCTTCTGCAACACATGTAGTAGAAGGAGATTACATTGTCCTCGAGTGTATAGTAGGCGGTTATCCGATTCCCGATGTGGCATGGTATAAAGATGGTCGCACTCTAGAACCTAGTAATAGTGTGGCCTATCAATTATCAGCTCGATCTCGACGCCTTCGCATTACCGAAGCCAAATCTACCGACAGTGGCATTTACACTTGCATAACTAAAAATCGCCATTCTACTACCAATACGTCTGTAACTTTGCACATCTATACGGAACCACTATGGATCAGCCCTCCAGAAGATACTTACATTTTAGAAAAGAAACGCTTCGATTGGCCTTGCCTAGCATCCGGTATCGACATTACTTACAAGTGGTTTATCAATGGGAAACCGATAACTAATTCATCGAGATATCAAAGTTGGCCAAATGGTACCTTAACAATCCACGATGTCAAAGTAAGCGACACAGCAATCTATACTTGTAATGCTGAGACACTATTTGAAAATATCGCCCAATCTGCTTACCTTAATGTCAGTATACGAGCTCCTGTTATTCAATATTTCCCTCACAGTATTATTCATCTTAATGCTGGAGATAGAGCTAGAATTTATTGTAATGCAACTGGTGGTCCAACACCTGTCATCAGCTTTCTTAAAGATGGTAAACCATTGCAAGATCAGGCCACCGATCGAATAGAATTAATCCAAGGTATTGGATTAATTATACAGAATATTTCATTAGCAGACGCTGGTCAATATGGATGTGTAGCTAAAAATCGGTTGGGTACTACTGAACGGTATGTAACTATAATTGTTTATCAGCAGACGGAGGTTAAAATCCAACCTGTCAATATCATCAATAAGAAAAATACCAATTTAACCCTGTCATGTTCTATCTATAAAGATAGTCGATTAAGAATCAATGTTACATGGTTGACAGCTATGGAGAATCACGTTACCAAGTATACCATTGCTACTTATCAAGAAAGTAAAAATCTATATATTAGCACGTTATCGCTATATCAAGTCCAAGTTCATGATAGCGGTACTTATACTTGCATAGTAGAAACGTTTGTACCCACTAAAGGTATCATTGAAAGTACGGCTCGAAGCGAAATTACCATCAAGAAGCAAGATGTTCCTGATCCACCTTATAATGTCCATTGCTATAGTCTTAATACATCTGCAATTCGACTAGAATGGACAGCTGGTGATAGCAATTTAGCAGCGATTAAAGAATTTAACTTAGCCGTTGTTATGACAACTATTTCTTCATTGCCTAGATCTATAATGACTGCCAATGTTTCCGCATCCATTAATTCTATTGATGTGCCGGTTCAACCCTATAACACCTATCTACTTTTCGTTGCAGCAACAAATTTATATGGCATTGGTCTTACAACTCGTACCGAATGTAACGCAACAATATATGATATTCCTCATCTTGTACCATCCTATTTGCGCGCTCGAGCAAGTTCATATACAGCTGATGTAATTTATACAAGCTGGATTCCAATACCCCGTATTTATTATAACGCCCCTGGCTTTGGTTATAAAATCGTTGTCAATAGGGTAACGCCGAATGGTTTACAACGTGTGAAAAGATCTGCAACAGCAACGGTTCGATACGGCAATGTATCAAGTGAGATTATTGAAGGGCTACTACCAAATATGATCTATGAAGTTAAAGTTATTTCCTTCAATGATATGGGCGATAGTGATGTCGATGGAGAGACCCTATTGGTGAGAACTGGAGAATCTCCGCCAACCTTTGTTCCATCAAATCTGTATATCTACCCTATTGCGCCAACAAGAGCTTGGCTTGCTTGGCATACTAATAAAAGTATGCAACGATATAATATTCAAGGTTATAAGGTGAGAGTTTGAATTCAGTTTAAGCTTCCGGTATTTTAATTCCTTATAGGATACCTGATATTTCTCGTAGAACAATTCTACGTCTAGTGACATTATGTATAGTATGGATTTATGATAAATTTAAAATTGAACAAATATATTACTTGTATGTCTTAAATATTCTAAGATCGCCCTTATAACCGTAATATTTTGATTTTTTGGTATATGGCGTTTAAGTTGCGTACTAACGCTTTTTAATTTTTGAAGAACGCTAACGATTTTGCTTTATTTGCGGTTATTAGGTTGCATATTGGATTGAAAGTGATATTCAGACCACTTCAACTATTAATGCGGCCAATAATGCCACCGAAATCATTATTGAAGATTTACGGCCTTATCGAAATTATACCTTTCAAATCACTAGTATTGGAAATGGTGGTGTTAGTACACTGAGTTTAACTCGAACTCGAGCAATGACATCATTAGTTCCAGGTAAACATGATCATTATGTTCTCGAGTTACTTTGACTTCGAATTGCGTCATTTAGTAAAAGTTCATTAATACACTGAATACAAGCTGCATTTATCTAGACATTAATTTAACGTATACATCGAACCTAATTTCTACTTTCTTAAGTCTATTGTTACTCATTGACATCAATAAGAAAATCTTCCAAATTTATTGTATTGTAGGTCCAGTTCGGAGTTTTGAAATTATACGTAATCGACTTGGAACGATCGAAATAGCTTGGTCATCGCCTATGAACACCAATGGGCCAGTATTAAATTATCGTATACAGTGCACTGATGCTGTCTATACTGATATACCTCCAAGAATTGTTGTTACGTCAAATAATGGTACTTACTTGAGTTTGCCGTTCCAATTCAGTTATGGTTACTATATTTTTAGTATTATGGCCAAAAATGCTATTGGCTACGGAGTTCCTATCACAACTGAAAAGCGAGTTATTGCCTATGGTCCTCTACCTCCGCAAAATTTAACAGCATTACACGTTAGCAATGTTAGCACCACTCTAGCTTGGACTATCGATTCTGTTCGCTATGTTGATGGTTTTGTATTAGAAATGAAACGCACTCAAGATGCTGCTTATCAATACTTTGATACGAAAATTGGTGTGGCTCAAAGACAAATAACTATTAATGATTTAACTCCAGGAACAGTTTATCAATTTATTATGCGTTCAAAACATGAGGAACTAATCGGTGATCTCCATACTGGCGAATTAAGTATACAAACTAAATCGGATAAAGACAATATTCGAGATACTAATGATTCCACCTTACAAATTATTCTAATTGCATCGAGCATTGGTCTATTTTGTATTATCATTACAATTGTTATAATTGTGATTGTTAGGCAGCGAAAAAAGCGCAATCAAGACAATCATAGCAATTTTGGCTATGTTGTAACAATCAAAGGCAAAAGCCGTCGTAATTCCATAGATACTATACGTCCTCCCGCACCAATAACAAGTAATGAAGGCGTTATTTTATCACGTTTGGATCCTAGCAGACCAACATCGACACTACAAATGCCGGCATTTTATCCTCATCTACAAGATAGTGAATCAGACTTACATCATGGCGAAGAATAAATTACTCTAATTATTTGCTGTACTTTTATGTCTTAACTTACTTTTGACTATCTATGTTATGATGCATGAGCGTTTAAACTCTTATTATTGTAATCATCTTCATATATAAAAATGATACAGTACATTCTAAGTTAAATTGTAACCTATAATTTAAATTATACTATTCATATTCAAAATCGATATAGTCAGCAGCATGTTGATATATGGAATTAATACACTGTGTACATTGTACACTATACTTAGAATCGATCTCATTTGATACTTCTACATCCGTATATCCTAAATTATCTTACTAATTATAATAATTACTTAGTTGATTACCAGGCGGTAGGCTTTCAGGTAGTGAGTAACAAGTATATGAAATGATTACCGGTATTTATTAGCGAGAGCTTATGAAAGATTATTCCATACTTGTTGCTTAGCCTTTAGAACATTGATTTATTATGAATACCGTTGCAGCAGTTGAAATGATGATGGCCAGCCATCATTTCTATAATTAAATTTACTGCTACAACTGCTTCCGTTAATCCTTCAAGTGTAAAACTTGATTTCTGCACCAGGACATAAAGTACAATATATCGTACTGCTTAACTATCATACAGCATCTTTTATTCTAGTGATATACTAATGTAATGTTATTTCGCAATTATCATAAACTAACACTATCATAACAGCCACATAGTTCTGGTGCTTATGATTCTGTATGGGCTATATCTAAATTGATCTAATAATGATCATTTTCGAGTTTCGTTACAGTTGCCCAAACGATACACTTTTAATCAGTAGTCAATCGTATGATAATTTATGGCGTACTGTTTTTCAGCATTAACATGTATAAATCTTCATTTGAACACCTGCGTCATTAGTATCAGTCAGTTAAGATTGCTATTATGCTATTTTATAGACCATGTAATTGGCAATTTTCTTTTTCTTTTTTAATTTATCAAATTAGCTGGATATCATAACACGTAATTCTTTAATATTAGATATTGCCAGATGCAAAGTAGATGAGCAAAGGCAGATTTTTTCAAATTTATATTTGAAGTGTGTAGTAATTAATCATATCATAGGGCAATAATCTTATAACTGCAAGGCTATATCACTTGTTGTGACTTATAGACTCTGTAGCAAATGCAAACAGATCAAGAAATCACGACGTGGGAGTATTGTATAACTTGCAATATTTCTCAGGTATAATCTCGACATATACCTTAACCTATAGTAATAAATAAAATTGAATGATGAACTGGAAATTAGGTCGTACCGCGAAAATTCTCGATTTAATGTAATGGATTTTAATTTCGCAAAGTACCAGTACAAGATCATCTTGTATGTGGTAATATAATTAGTTTGGCAAAGAATTAGCAATTTATACAAGTTAAAATTAACTTGAGAAACTAGCGGCAATTTGCAATTGGCCGTAACGAATTTTTGTGTCCTAGGTATATGATGATATTATACAGCATCAATAATCAGAAATTCTGCAAGTTAATTAGTGCAAACTTCTTTAGTTAGCCCAAGGTATCTAGTCGCATTTATCGTTATAGGCGAGCATGCGGTACCGTACTTTATCACAGCCTTGCATTATTTATGCCAGATACGCATATTTTAGGAAGCAATTGATGGCGGTAATTAAATATTTATTTTTTATTAAAAATTAATTCTATTGTATGTAAAAATACAGCTTTAATATTACATGTGATATATATGAGCTGTGCGCGTACGTATATGGGTAGAGGGAAAACATTTTTTAGAATTATTTTTATACATTATTATTTCGTGATATTTACACAATACTCGGCAATTTATTTATCTTTGCTTATGTGAAAATATGTATTACACGTATCACTACGATTTAGTATCCATTAAAAGCCTCATTTGATATCATAAGCAAGAGCCGGTGTAGTAGTCTACGTCAATTCGCTAGATTAGCGTCATCGCATAAGGAAGACTAGTTTTGAATAAAATTTTAAAAATGTGAAAACTTAGAAATATCAACTAACCGTTCCATTTCAAGTTTAAATTAGGGTGACCAATTTTTAGTATTATACCGTAGCTCGAACCGGATATCTTATTTAGATATTTAAGCGATCGCTCTATAACTTGCGATTTAAAGTATAACATTCAATATCTACTAGATGTACTGGCGAATACTTTTACAAATTCATTTTGAGTTAATACTGTGTACACATTATCTTCACAATTGAAACAGTACTCATATTCAGAAAAACTTATAGGAATATAAATTTGCACGTTGAGGAAATGCCTGCTAATTCAAAAGTTCGATAACTAGTGATACGATACTCTTGTTACTCAGTTAATAAACTATATTATTGAATATACTGTACAATCAACAAACAACCAGCATCTAATTAACAAGGCATTCATACATTATGTACATTTAGCATGGTCTTGTCCTGCTTTAGATTAATTATGAAGAAAACACACTTAAGTAACTGGATGCTATCTTGCGAATCTCGATAAAACATAAAAAGCTTGCCATTATAATCATTTCATTCCCTCTAATTGATAACTTCGTCAAATTTCGAGGCTATCATTATAATGTTATATGATTGATTATATATTCTCTTTAGCCTCAACGCGACTAGTAAATTAAGCAGCTTCCATTTTTTGTCGTTAATCCTTGTTAAACTTTCTGACTATTTATATTTTTTGCTTTATTGTTCGTCTTTCGAGAAGATCCTGCAGTTTTTGTAGTTGTGGACTCTGTTGCCTTGGATCCTCCAATAGTCTTAGTTTTCTTAGATTTCGTAACTGTCTTTGGTTTTTTGTCACCGTTGGAAATGCTATCGCCATTTTGAGTAGTTTGCTTCTCTACTTTGGTGTTGCTAAGACCAGTGTCAATTCTACTTGTCGCTTTTGCCTTTTTTTTACTTTTGCCTTCCCCTTTTTTTCCATTTACAGTATTAGAAGAGGTATTTGATGTTAAGTTGTTAGTAGAGTTGGGTTTTACAGATGGCTTTAAATATGGTCTGCTTTTATCTCTTCCTTTCGCTGCTTTAATAACGTTTTGCATGGTAATAACTTTTTGTGCTGCTTCACTAAAAGCATCATCACAGCTAACTTTTTGTCCTCGATGGTTTTTCTAAATGGACAGCAAGATAGAGAATGATAATTTTTATAATAATTTGTTGCAACTTGACGTCTTCATATTAGTATCACTCGTTTGAAACTGTTTGTAGGTCAATGAGTACCTTACCTGATTACATCGACGACACAGATTGGGTGCATACATTTTTCCCGGAAAATCACCACATAAGCAGTTGATACAAAACCGAACTCCACAAAACTTACATCGATAAGTCTATAGTTAACAAATGATAGAAATGCTTCATTAGCATGCATATGTTTATTAATCTAAGTAGTCAATATCATGGCTTTTACTAGGATACATCCGCATATCAATGAACAGTAATCGATTAAGAGGCTCTTATTTTATCATTGATGGTTCACATTTCTGAATGCTCCTTTACCTGCATTGGTCACGGTACTTGTACTTATGTATACTGATACTATTACCGTAAATTTAGAACATAGCTTGCGAAAATTATATTCTAATTCCATTAAAGTATCATGAGTTGGAATCTGCTGACAGACTAAATTGTTAAGATATGGCTGCATACTGAGTATAGTATCAATTAATATTATCAAAATTCTCATTTGCACGGTATGGCGTACAAATTAGCCTAGTTATTGTATAATTAGATACATACTATAATTGCGATACATTTACTACGGTATAAAATACTCAGAGTATCTGTCTCAGTGTAACTATCGTACAAAATTTAAAACATCATATTTCTAATTACTGAGCAAAAATATAGCATAAAATTGTCCATTTAGTTCATATTATAATTTCACTCTTTAACGACGTACTTTCTGTCTATTAAGCTGACTACGATAGCAAAATATATGTGTAAATATATATTAAAGAGACGTAAGCTGATAATGGCGCCACCCTTTACAGATGGTTTTTACATTTTTGCACGCTTTACTTTACCGTGTCTGTTTTCAGACAGCCCCACCGACACATAATGAAATCAGTTTGGCCTACCACAGTTCTTAGAGAAAGTACTTGCTAATGTTTTTATTTTCCTAAAGTTTAAGAGAAATGATTTATCACAACAGGCTCTCTATGGTCAATAGTTTACTTCTATTATTCTCCTATCTTCGATAAACGACGGAGAAAAAATTGACATTGCTACCATTGCATCATTATGCTCTATGTAATTGCTCCTTATTAAAAACTGTTTCTAGTCGAAAACTAATATCTCTCTTTCTATGATATATTACACCGTAACTAGTTTGTCTATTTTCGCTTTACAAAACATACCTTAAATCGTGCCCTGCTTAAAAGTGCCTCTTTTTTTCTCAGCACAGAATAGCCAGGCTATTTCATTGCGGAAATTAACAGTGATATTGTTAAAAGCGCTTTATATTATCCAATCAAATCTAATAGCAGTGCTAATTAGCATTAAAAGCAGTTCAACACTTGTTACAACTGTATGACTGTTTATGGTTAGTCTTCTTATTGTAGCTCTAATTTGTATAGGCTTTACTGCTAGCCACAGTTAAAGAATTGCCTAATTAATTATAATTATAATAAGAATATTTATTACAATTACAATAGTCAAGCATTGAATTAGTCTAGTTGCCAAGACGACATAAGCAAATTTTTCGTATCTAAAAATGAGTCATTTTGTTAAGGCAGGACCGTATCTAATCGATTCATCCATCAGTTGTAATTTGCGTTTTAGATGATGATATAATTATCAGGGTGATATATTCAAGTTATTGACAAACCGGGAGACAAGATGTGTACAGCCTTTAACGGAGAAAATTTCGACGTAGTACGGGTGTAGCAAAATGACATAAATGCTTATCAGTACCGATGTGCGAAATCGATTATATACAATTATAATGCTGTTAGGGTATGTTGCATTCGTATATGCTTCCGATATTAAGCAGCAGTTATATTATAATTAACCTAATGGAGATGTAATACTAGATTTTCTTCGCTAGCTCTTTAAGTATACAAATTAATATCAGCAACTATTGGTAGTCCTTGTTAAAAGTATAAAGATTAACTCTATCCAATCTGTATTGTAATTAAATTATAATTGCCGCTCAATAGCGTGATTATATAGGATAATTTAATCATAGTAATTAGTATTATGAATATACTTGTACCTATCAATTAAAACTACGTACCATTTATGAAGTTAAATCTCGTAAATAACTCTTATGATTCAACACTATATTATATTGACTTGGTAATTAATCTTGCTTAATATTGGCACAGCACCAAGGCTACAAAAATCGAGGGTAAGCTTCGGTTTAAATTGTTTGAATGGTAAGTGGATGGTGAGAAGTTTGGTCTATACCAATCGACTACGTGAATTACTTAGAAACTAATATCAAAAGTTTGATTAAAAGTAATGCAAGCTTATTTGCGTCTCATCAATAATGACAGTTTTACGTACAATTATCATCTAAGCTTAAATGAAGTTTCCTTAAATCGTCTCACAGTTTCGTTTGAATAAGAATTCGATAGTGCATGAAATAATTCAGTAGTCTGTCTGGGGCTGTGTGCGAGTATATATGAGCTATTGTACACTATAATTCGATGGTTTTTGCTTACGTCTACTTTAAGCATGACCATAATCGAATATGACTATAAGTATGTACATAGCACAACTAGCATGTAAATTTAAATAAAAATATCTTATTATTGACTCAAATAAGAAATTTAATGGAATACGAATAATACTATAAGCTCTTTCGGACTGTATACAGGGCACTGCATACAACCTACACCGTATTATGATGTAATAAATAAATCTATATGTCCTCATCAAATCCCATAATATGAGACTGTTCTGTCAAGTTTCTTATATGTAGTCCTAGATCACTTGCTGAGATACCGATAGGGTATTTTGAGTCACAAATATACCTTTTTGGCATATACCTTATATCACTAACTCTGCGTAGATGATACATTTCTCACGAAGTGTTACTTGATGAGACAGTTCAGTTGTTGAAGGATATTTACGAGATCCTTGCCCAATGCCATAATAAAGAAGTGCTATGCAATTCCCTATATACGGTACAGTTCTAGACAGATTAGTGGATTACGTATTCCATTTTTGAAAATATATCGTTTTTTACCAAAGTATTTCATTTGATATGAAACCTTAACTTTAGCAAAGTAACACACTTCTCATGTAATATTATTAGAGTAGATTCTTAAAATTATTCAAAAGTCGACCTTCGACAACATAACTAACTAATATAATAACGTTACGTTGGGTATGTACTGTATAGTATTATCTTACCTGAGCTAACAATATATAGCATATTGTATACGTCGATAAAGAACATTTGCGATCGCAAATCGCAAAATAACAATTTGTTAATCTGTCATTCTTGCTTGTGATGGATATGCATAGAGGGAACTGTATCACATACACTCTGATATCATGCAATGGCCAAAGATATACGTTTTATAATGATATAATTGTCTAATCTGATAATACTGGATGAGAGGTGTCCTATCTTGCTAAAATTCATAATATATTGCCATTTGTCGGTAATGTCTAATTATTACCGTAAAATAATTTAGTACCTAATTTACGGTTGTACGGAGGGAACTACTGCATTTCACCCATACTCATATCAGGGTATTTGGTGAAGATATTTAGTATATTCTTTCGCAATATAACATCTAGCTCAATATAAGTACGTAAATGAAGGTTCATTATTTTACCGATAAAGTTAACAGTATACTAGATACGGTGGTAATGTATATTTAATACCCTATACGTATGGGCATGTCCAACGTGATATGAATCCGTGAATGCGCTAAAAAACAACCCAATAAATACTCCTTTAGTATCCTATACCAATGAACACATAGTCAATTTGTGAGATAGTATGATGCTTTTACAAGAATTGATTGTTTTGTACTCTCTACTAGCTTTTGATAGCCGCTTATTTAAACTATTGTCATTCAAATGACTATTTATGATATTATACTGTCTTTCGACATGATGATGATGCTGTCAATTTTGGATTACTATTGGTTATATCTGTGCATGTGATATATTAGCATAATGGTTCTGTATGTTGGTTTCTATGGATCACTAAGTCAACTTGTTGCTGTCTAAAATTACAGCAACTTTAAGAGTTTGATTTCAATTGCTATCCAACTACAGCGTAATAAAATTTCTTACGGAACTTTATCAATGTATAAGAAAATTGTAAGACTTTAAGGTAGGATAGAATTGCACCGATTACTCTCTTGATTAAGGAAATCTTTTCATCGCGCATTAATTTCCTATCGCAGAGGCTTACTACGTTGATATTGAATCGGCCTCGTTAATTAAATTTAATTTATTACCTAGTTACGGTACAACTGCTACAGTATCTGAATCATTATAACATTATAACCTTATAATACTAAAACAACAATTAGGAACTAGTTAAAGTTAGTACACTTTCCTTCTAGAGGAAGTGATCGTATTATAGAAAGAATTGAACGATCATAGAACAAGATTATTTTATGATAAATGAATGCAGTTGCTTTCCAAATACAAGAAAACTATTTAGCGTAGTATATGGTGAAGAATGTATACAGATTGTAGCTATTCAACATTCACTGACAGATACTCTATAAATGTGTAATGGCAGTATATCTAAATGATTTTCTTCTCGATGGCGCTCTTAAATGAGCATATAATTTCCTACTATCTATTGAATAATTAAATCTGACAGATGGAATATCGCTTGCTTCCTGTTTTTTTAGATTAATAGCTTATGTCTTCATTACGGCTGTCACCACTTAAGAGCCCTGCCCAATATGAGGGGTTATCGGCCGAGCTTGTATTTAGCAGTACGTATGAAACAAAATCTGATCAGTTTAATTTGAGTTTTTTACCGATAATAATGTCTTCACCTTCGGCTTAAAAATCAGAAAAGCCTCTCCCACTCGGGCTAGAAAACGAAAAAATTAAAGATCCAGCTATTACGGCGTCATCTTATAGAGTCACAAATCCACCTTACATGGCTCGATTACATAATCCAGATGGGGGTTGGATCCCAAGAAATAATGATTTAGATCAGTTCTTACAGATTGATTTAGGTCGTCTTCGAGCAATTACAATGATTGCAACTCAAGGACAAATTTGTAAAGGTGTTAGCCAATGGGTTTCTTCGTACTGTATTTGGTATAAAGAGAAATCATCAGAAGCTAGATGGACACCGTACAAGGAGGGGAAAAAATCAACCAAGGTATGCTCATAAAAGATTATTAATATGAACTGATCATTATTGTAACATGCACCTAAGGGCTTTGTTACAATTTTAATAGATTTTTAAAGGTAATAGTGACTATAATTCCGTAGTCACACATTTAATTCTACCCCCATTTAACGCCAGAATTATCCAATTTCGGCCATTGAGTTGGTGTTCACGCGGAATAGGAATGAGAGTAGAAATTTATGGACTAGATAGTTCATTAACCGGTGATTCAAAATATCGTTGACTATGCGTCAGTGATTGCATTACAGATGGATTGCAAGCCATGATATTGATTTTAATCGAGCTTTTAACTGCAATTCGATCAATTTCCAACTGATATCGTTTATTCATGTATAATTATAATAGCAAGCTATTCTGTTAGCACTAAAGAAGAAGAATTAAAATGGGATACCGATCTCCATGCGGTACAACAGACAGGTTACTTCGATTGGACTTATCACCGTGTCATGCAGGCAAGTTTATGCATTAATTAATCTTATTGATTTCATAATACGTCCTACAGTAAAATCTCCTTCCTGAGTACCAATAATGATGATTCAATTACTCTCTTGTACTGTAACAGGGAATCGTAAAAAAAAGCCCATACCTAAAAGTAAATCATAATTCATCAGATCCACCGAAAAGACTAGCGACTACGGAAAGGAGACGGTAATGGCTACTAGAACGTATTCCACTGATTTCTATTTTGCAATGATCGAAGCAACTTATTAAATAGAAGATAAATTTTTCTCCTATTTCATTAGATTATCGAATAATTTAAAATATAAGCTGAACCATAACATTCCTACTCGTTCACTTCAAGATAGGGGGTATTTACAATACAGCGCAATTTTAATTTATCTAAGTCAAACATCGTCTCTAAAATTCATATACTGCTCAGGACACTGTCCACGAGTCTGTTTACTGATGTTAATTGGAAGGAAATTGTTTTTAGGAAAGCACCTTTGGAATCCAATAAACATCAACATCAACAAGCGGATATTGTTCTAGAAGTACAAAAGGTATGTTCAAATTGTTTACTTTCTTGAATTAATTCGAACATCTTCTCAGTTTAGATTGTTCAATGCTTTAGTGTTCTTAAAGGTGCATAATATTTTATTAAACAATTTGAGCTTTGATTTTCAACTTTGAAGTCTTTTATTTATTCGCATATTCTTCTTAGAAAGCTCAATTTTTCTAACAACTGTTGCCTTAAGGAAGTTTCTTTAAATCGAGTTAATCGTTGAATATTATTTTAAAATATAACAGCCAATTATTAACATTACCTATACTATTTACCGAGTTATATCATTAAGCTCCATCTACCGTGATATTAGAGATGATTCGATATTATAATAAACCGTCATATAAAATATGCGTAGATAAATAAGATACTATCTGATCTTATATTATAAAAATTAATTTTCCTGAAGTACTGTATATGCGTAAATACAAATAATGCCATGGAGTAAGGATGATTTGATAGATTACAAGACATCGATGATTCGTGGTACAGGTCATCATTAATTACATCTTTGGTCATCACTTACAGCTTATCTATAATCTAAACCATATAGGATCATGTAAAAACTGTAAATGATCAAGCAAATAAGAATGTCTTCGATCCAAAGATGTATTTTACCGATGGAGACACTTATTATTCCTACACAAGTAAGTTATAAATTTCTAGAATGGGATTTACCACTTGCATTAAATTCATTTTTAATGTGCTTCTGCACTATTTTTGCTATACTGAATCTAGTTAGTCAGCCTGAAAGAGACATATACAGTGGTAGCTTGGATGTAGATCACGAGAGGACAAACCATTGCGTAAAAATCGTTATAATTTCCAACGCATCAGGTAAAATTAATTATTTCGTCTATAAGAGCGCTCCTGCGATAGTATGGAAAGATAGCAATGCCTAAGTTAATAGTAAATTTTTTACTATTAGATACGATAGAAGAAAGAAAAGCAATAAGAGTTGATTTATTCCAAAAGCTAATGTATTGCTGCCGTGAAAAGGGATTGCAACTGCAAATTATAGATTATAATTGGGAAATGCCAGAGATACAAAACTATGATCCTGAAATAGTTTCCATCATCCTTAACGACATTAAAAAATGCAGTCAATCTAATTCTTCCAGTAACTTCATGGTAAATTTTAATAAAGCATAAAATATACACGCGATTGTGCTGACCGTGCTAACTAGATTGAGTTGGAATCCAAGTTATACAGTAGATTCTACTCTTAAAAATTATTATTACTGTGTGTAACAGCTTATCGCTATCGTTAAAGAAGGAAATGAATTGATATAATGTATTTTTTGTTTCAGATTATTGTAGGCCAAAAGTATGGTAAACGTTTGGTTCCTGATAAAATTAAATACGAAGAGTTTAAGTATTTAGAGGAATCACTAGATAATCAACAGAAAGAATTTCTTAACCGCTGGTACATATATGACGGGTCAGATAAAAATAAGCACTATTACCTACAATTACACCTAAATGAACATTCCTACCAAGAAGGCACAGAAAAATCGCCAATGGAGATTCTACAGTCTTTACATAGCATCATCTATGCTGCCGCTATAAAAGCTATAAGAAGCAATAATAACTATCATAAATTCATAACTTCCGGTAAGTAATTATTTAGATCAATGCAGTGCGATAACTTTCTATCCAATATATCCATTACGTCATTAGCATGAATTTATACCTGTACTAATTAGAATTATTACCATTTAGTCTTAGAGGCGGAAATTTTTGAAAGTATGGCAAATTTAGAAGATCCAAACAAATGTTGTATATGTTTAAACCGGGATTTTACTAATTTAAAAGTAAACGGTGGCTACACTAAAATACTCAATAACTATATTGATATGAGCGACGATAAAAGTGCTGTGGATAAAAAGGCTAATAAAATGTTAACTTCAATGAAAGAAAATTTGTTGCCAGAATTTCTGTCAGAGAAAAATATTATTCACTACCAATTGGAATGGGACGAAGATGGCGTTAACCCAGATTTCAACGGACAGCACAAGGATTACATGACATCATTCATTGAGCATGTCGAAAAGTTCGGTACAGGAGTTATCGAAAATATTAAAAATACCTTTGACGAATTAGAAAATTACGACTTACTATCGGAAGATATTAAACATCATGCACGAATTCTTAAATATTATTGCCAATATTTTCGTGGAAGAAGGAAAGCTATTCAAGCCATTGAGGATTACTTGAGAAGGTATAGTCGAAGCCCACTTGTTATCCATGGACCAGCCGGCAGTGGTAAATCTGCAGTCATGGCTGTAGCGGCAAATATAACTAAAAAAGTTATATTTGCTAATACTATGGTCATTGTGCGCTTTATTGGAAGATCACCAGAATCATCGAGTGTTCGACTGCTTATTAATAGTATTTGCCAGCAGATATGTAAGGTATATGGGCGTCGCATAATTGATGTTGAGAGGGTAAGTTTTCTTGTTAAACCAAAATTTTAGTACATCATTCATCGCCTTGATTTGAAATATGTGAACTCTTACTGTTGAACAATATTCATTTATGACAATGCAATAGAGAACCCATAGTACCGCTACAATGCATATATTGGGGAGGCCTGTTAGAAAGAAACTAGTCTTCACTCGAAAATGTTTAATGACTATCGTGCGGAGGAATCTCTTGATACCTTCTTAATTTATCCTACTTTTAAATTAATAAAATAATTTAACAATGGACCCTAAATCGTCTTACATTACAGATAGTAACTTAATTATAACTAGTCAGGACCCGTGGACAATCCAAGATCATGATTTTCACATTCTACAAATTTCATTCTTCACGTGTGTACTCCTACCTACTGTCTTCGCGTGATCTTGATGGCGTGCGTGCTAAGTTGTGCGTAAAGATTCCAAGCGCATAATGCTAGTATACTGATAATATACGCTTACAGTATTATCAAATTCGGGCTTGATATTCTCGTAATGAGACAAGAATAGTGCATAGCAGTAGGCAGTTTCATATTAAAGAAATAAATTGTGTATGAACATTTCGACACTTATTCATGTACTATTTCACAGATTCTTATCGTTTTATCCCTTCCGTAGAAGCGATGCCATGTACAATGGCATTGTTATTGTACATGGTATACGAATATTATCCAACATTGGACTTAGTATGTTCATAACAAGATAAGAATCAGTCATTTCAGTACATTATCTTTTACTAATGGAAGTAAATTGTGCCTAATATATCTTGGCCATTTGCTCATAAGTATGACCTTTGCACACTTTTATGCCGTTATTATAAGTGATGTTATACGAATGCAAATAGTGCATTTTGATTCCTGGACTTCATTAGCTCGTCATAATATAAGAGTCAATATGTTATCAGTGTTTTGTCTTATATTAAGATAAAATTATATACAGAATATCTTGATTACTTGTTCATACACTGTTCTACAGCTCCTGCAGTTTTATCCCTTCATTAAAAATGATAATATGCACAAATAATAACCTTTGTCGCAGCGTGCTAATACGAATTTTTTTTCTTCGGGATTGCTAGAACAACAAGTCCCTTAAAAGTAAACTACACGAGTGCCTGGCTATGCCGAGCTATTCGCAGCCATTAACCCTTTATCTTGATGGTTTGGATCAATTATCGAACGATTATGGAGAGCCAGATTTTGATTGGATACCTCGAAATTTACCGGATCATGTCAGTATTATTGTATCAGCTACTAGCGAACCTAGGACTAGAGCGTTTGCAAAATTAAAGGTATACTTACGCATTTCCGATAGCTACATTTTAATAATAGCATAAATTATAGATTTTTCTGCTTTTCTAAATCTAAAAGATATTCAATCGGTAATCTATAAATTCTTGCTTTCGATGCTTGAAATACATATAACACTTCTGTAGTATTATCGTAGATACGTAGTGAAACTTTCTTTGTAGTATAGCACCGTATCTTAATGGTAGCATAGCTTTTAGATTCATTTTGCTTTCTAAAACTTAAAGTCACTTTATAGTTACAACCAGTCAGCACGCGATAAATACTTGATTTTAGCGTAGGAATAAACATAACACTTCAGTATCATTATTGTAGTTGCGTGCCGGAGTATCAGACTATATGCTTAATATTTTAATAGCAATATAACTTGCAAATTCTTCTACTTTCCTAAATCTTAAAGACATCTAATTCTTAGAATCAATCAATAGTCAGTAAATCCTTAGTTAGCAAGATTTCTGCAAATTTTGTACTAAAGGTCGATACGATACTGATGAACCGAGACAATAGGTAGCGGGATTGAGTATAGATAACGCTAGCAGACCGCTCTATCCAAATCGAAATTGTTATCTTATAGTTTAAATAATACAGCCATAGTATAAGCTTGAAAGTTAAATCTATGCTAATATTTGAAGTAAGTCGAATTAATGAGTGATCAGAGAATTTATTTCTAGATATCTATCGTGCTGCAATAGGATTTAGTTTAGAATGCTTGCTGTCAAAGAAATCATAAAGGCTAAATGTTTTCTACTCTTCATTAACAACTTCCTTTGATATGCTTACCTGTATTAGGGTATTGTGAAAGAAGAAGGAAACTTTTTTGATATCCAAAAATTGAGCTCGAATGACATCAATTACATCGTCAACCAATTTATGAACGCGAATCAAAAGTCTTTGACTTCAGAAATGCGGCAATTGCTAATCAGTAAATGTCAAGCTTGTCCATGGCCGGCTTACGTTAATACAGTTATGTTATTAAGTCTTACCTGGAAGTCATTTACTGATTTGAGTAACTGTAACATTCCTACCGCTATGAACGAATTGATTGCGATTATTATTGAAAACTTAGAGAAAAAGTATGGTAAAATTTTGATGCAACGTTTATTAATTTATATTACTTTATCAAGAAAAGGTTTAACAGAAGCTGAATTGGAAGATATTTTATCCTGCGACGATGAAGTTTTGCGAGCAGTTTATCCAAATCGTGAACCAACAGTTCATCGTATACCAACCTTGTTATGGATCAGAGTTCGAAATGAATTATCACCCTTTCTTGATGAAGCCTTCGCAGACGGATTTTCCGTTTTGCGTTGGAAGTTTCGAAATTTTTCTGAAGTAATACGTAAAAGATACCTATCCAATGCAGACGATAAAACAGAACTACATTCCGTATTGGCAGATTACTTTTCCGATAAGTGGAAAGACGGTAAACCATTTGAACGCTTAGATAGAATCACTGTTTTAGCAAATCGCCTTATTATGACCCAACCAGCTATTCTATCGTTGAGAAATAATGATGTGTTTCAGCCAACATTTAACTTACGTAAATTAAGTGAATTACCATATCATTTATTATACGCTCAAAGATTTGAGCAATTGAAAGAGCTAATGTGCAACTTTTTATGGCTACTTAGTAAGTTAGCAGCGACATCTATACATCATGTGCTTAATGATTTTGATATGGCCATTAGCAGTATACCAGGTAGTCAGCAGGATTTAAAATTAGTAAGGGAAACGTTAATTATGTCATTAGTTGCTCTTAATGATGATCCTGCACAACTAGCATCTCAGCTAATTGGCCGATTAGCCACTAAATTCTCTAGTGAAGGTAATTCTTACGCCAATTACCGTTATGTTAATATGCTATTACAACAAGCAGCTGATCCTGCAGTTCCAAGTTTGATTCCTCCTATCCATTGCGCTTCGTTGACACCACCAGGTGGTTCGCTTAGTCAATTACTCTCTGGTCACACTGGATCTATCCTTGCATTAACAGCTTCATCGAATGGCCATACTATATTTTCTGCCTCTTGGGATAAGACAATTAAACTATGGGATGCACGTACAGGATCATTAATAGGAACGATGGAAGGCTTAAGCACTATCAGAGAACAGCAATTGCGTAGTTTATCTAATTCGGCTAGTGAAGCTAGTGATTTAAGAGAAATTGTAAGTGGACTATCAACCAGCGCATATAGCAAGCAACTGAATAAAATTTGGTCCGTTGGTAAACGCTTGAGTGATATGAAATTATGTTGTCAAGATCGATTTTTAGTTACTACATGTTGGAATGTAGTTCAGTTGTGGCGTTTGGATCAAATGAAATGTGTAGTAGAATTTGCTTCGCATGATGATATCCAGCATCGAGCAGCTTGTGTTGCTAATGTAACTAACAAGCAAGTATTGGTAACCTATGATGAAAGAGAAATGATCATTCATTTATGGAATATCGAAAAGTTTGGTCAATCTGTTCGCGATTTCAAGAGTAATTATCATAACATGAATTCAAGTTGGAGAATATCTGGAGCTTACGAAAATTTAGTAATGTTTATTAATTCGCCACAAGCCGTAATGCATGTCTTTAATGTGTCTAACGGTGAGACAATGCATCGTGTTCAAATCCCTCCTGCCGCAATGTATCGCTCGTTAATCACAACAAATGGGAGAATACTTCTTACCAACGATACTGATGATGCTGTCTCAGTTTGGGATGTCCGATCAGCTCAATGTCTTGGCGTCATTAAAGCAACGGAAGTCGATGAGTTATCATTTGATAATACCAGTTATGCCTTCCTGTCTACTAATAATAATTATTACATGATTACAAATTATTTGAAAAACAGCAATATCCATAAATATGATTTATCAACTTTGGAAAGGAGTCCATTTTCTAGTTTACCTGTTGATAATATTAGTACATTTGTATGCTCACCATCCTATGTGATTACAGCGGCGCACGCCGATCCAAGGATATTTGTTTGGGATACTAAAAGAGCTGAAACAACTGCTGCAACAGAATCAACATTCTGCCCCAATTGGATTCAATTGGTCCGAAATGATGAAGATTATGTAGTCGCTTATCAAAAGAGCATGTCTTCTTTAACCATTTGGTATTATCCAACGTTTCGTTTGATCAGAACTTTAACGAATGTCAGCGAAAATATGTTTCATAAAGATGAATTAACCATCAATAAGGATATCTTAGTTTTAAGGAAATTACGAGATTTAATCGTGTATGATTTTGAAAAGAATGTTATTGTCAACAACATTCGTGATGTAAGGGAAATTAGCGGTGATTTTCCTTACCTGACATCATATTCTGTCATTGGTGATGATCGCATAGCTATTTTGCCACGTTCTGATAAAGCCATGTATATTATCAAAGTAAAAACCGGAGGTGTTGTTGCTCGATTACGTAAGGATGTTGAAGGTATTGAAAGCAAAGAAATTGTTGGCATGATGGTCAATCCACGCAGGACTGTTGCTGTTTTATTTGTTCAGTTTGAGATGCCCTATTTTACAGAATTGATTGTATGGAATTTTCGAACATTTCATTCCACCATTTTCCACTTTGATCACAAAGAGCAGCGTTATAGCGAATTTACTATGTCATGTCTAAGTCCAGATGGGCAATATTTAGCCTATAGAATGGAAAATCGCATGTACGTTAATTTATTATGCTTAACTGAGGGCAAAGTCAAAGCAAAACTCTTTTGCAACGCTGATGTTCGAGCTATTAATATGACATCGGATAAGTTAATCATTAGCTATGGTAGTTCAGGCAGTATTGGCATCTGGGATTTAGTACTTGAGCGTTGGGTCCACACGCTTGCCGGGCATGTTTCCGGCATAAGTAGAATTGTGCTTACACCGGATTGTAGAATATGTGTCACTGTCGCCGATGGACTAGATTGCTCTGTCCGTATGTGGGATGTTATAAAGCATAAGCAACTATCAGTTTTTACATCTGATGTTAAAATTTTCCAAGACAACATTGTTTTAAATAATGAAGGGAATTGTATTATTCTCCATATGCCCGGTATGGGTTCAATTATGACTTTGAGATTGGTATCACCAGATTCGTCGGAAAATAAAACAGTCGCCATAGATGATTCTTTTTCAACGGACGCTGCCAAGGAAAGTAAAGTCATCGATGCTTCTGTTGCTATAAGCTAGAATAAACGTATTTTGGTTATATAGCGTATCCTGTATTGAACTCGGTATCATTTACTATATTAGCCTTGAATGGCTTCATGCTCAAAACCCATTCTATGTAATATACTCCCTAAGTGCCTTGATTTTAAGGGATAAACAATGTCTATTGATATCCCGTTTTTTAAATTTGCTATCAATAATTATATATATGCATACTTTCCATCATTGACTATATTAGCCTTGAACGGCTTCATGCTCAAAACCCGTCCTATGTAATATACTCCCTAAATGCCTTGATTTTAAGGGATAAACAGTGTCTATTGGTATCCGGTTTTTTTTAAATTCGCTATCAATAATTATATATACTGTAAAAATATAGCAGCAGTAATACAGAACAACAGTTGTTAAAATACACTGTAATACTGCACGATAATCGCATACGTGTATACCGTAGCGTATAGACGCGTATATTAGATAGTTTTACTAATAAACATGATTTTAAGGCAATATCAGTTGCGAAATCCTAGTATTACTGTGCTTGATTAAATAGCGGCCAAAACATGAATGTTGTCTTAGCTTGTAGATACTGCAAAGTAGTGTCTCAAAAAGATTCACGTAAAATGACAGAATTTGTGATTGCTCTATTTCATTAAAATTAGACCAATAATTAATCAATTAATCAGAGCATCAATGATTTATTAATGAATGCGTTCAAAAATATGCAATACAGCACAATGTGTATTCTGTTCAATGACACGTATGGACGCAGATTGTTGAATACAAAACGATAATTAGCAGAGTTTATTATTATTTTCCGCTGCAAAGTTCAATAACTACAATTATACCTACTAATGCACAGATCAGTTCTGCTAACACTCTACAGTTTTGACTAGCAGTTAAGGATCTACTTTTGTAAGATAGATTTGTATAATAATAGACGCTTAAACTTGATAGTGAACCGGATCAATATTGTAGCCTAGTGATGTTTCTTATCGTGTAGTTGAATTAGAATCTTTTAGATGATTTAATATACTGTAATACACGAAGGAGTATTGTACCTACTCTTTCTTGGTACCAATGGTCTATTTTTCCCATTTTTTATTACCGATATATGATTTTGTGTATGATAATGTTAACTTATTGACTAAATGAACTATTTCTTGTTTTGGATAATAAATTGGTCATAAATTTGTTTAAATTATTTTGAGGCATCTCGATCAGAATGATATGAAAGTTATCTCTACCATAAAAATACGTAAATCATTAAAATTTACTGCCAGCCGCAATATTTTAAGTCATTGGCAACGCGGTGCATCATTGCGCTTAGAAGCTTACTCGTATCATGAAAACTGCAGCTGTACTGTATATTTGTTCGTTAATTTTACCATGTCTCTCAGATATTTTCGCTGAAAGGGATATCATCACTGGTGATGACTTTTCGTGGTGTACTATTGCGCTTATAAATTTATTATTAATACTGCATGATGGGCTTTACTTGAAGAAAAGTAATACTAAAGTTTCAGTAAACTATCCGTTAACTTTGGTAAGATTTCAGCCATTCTCAGCGATGGGTAATGTGCAAGAAAGCGAATGAGGAGACTGTTGTGCCAAAGAGCGTCAGGGGCGGGAAATATCACGTAACGGAAATCGCACGTAGCAAACCATTATGACAGGAATGAAGTGATAACTACAGTATACAGTACACGTACTGTACTCGGTGTACAGTATACTGTACTGTAGTGCATACGCGCAAATACTTGCCCTGTTACTGTAATGAATCAGCAGCGTCAAAAGCTATGGTGTCTTCTACTTGGATTTTTCTGGCCTTCTTAGCGAAATTTCTTAGAGTAATCCACCTTCTACATCAAGTATAAAGCGACGGATAATCACTACTGTCACTATTAAGATATTTTTACTACACTTGTATTTTTACAGGCTTTTATGTTAGGAAATTTTCGAAATGTACCATTCTCCACCACCTGTATCAGGCCAAAAGCCCGTAAAAGGCGTTCGGTAAAACATTGTCTTGACGATAAAGAAGTGTTTCACCACGCTTGGAATTTTCATCTTCCTGGCTTTCATAGCAGAAATTTAGATCAATATGTGTTCGTCATTCTTTTACGCTTATCGGCTTTCTATGTCAAGCAAAGAGCTCGTAAACTGTCTAGCATAACATGCATTGCTTTCGCCGTACAGTTACTTTCACTTCCATGATGAAAGCATTTTGTCATTCGAACCGATACTCATCCCACCTCGTACTTTCACTTGGATTTTGGACA